GCTACTGACAGTCTTTTCACAGCGTGTGAAAAGACAGGATAGTCCCATATGTGGTGTGAGCAAAATATATAGTGAATGCTGCTGCCGAGTGCCGAGTGAAAGGCAGGCTCATAAGCACACTGCCGTGTGTTCTCATCCATCTAGTTCACTGGATCAGGCACTGTGTGACCTCTGGCTCTTCCCCAAAGTCAAAACGACCATGAAAGGTTTTGAATAAATTCAATACATCGGGCTGGGGATATAGCTCAGTGGCATAAGCACCTGCCTGGCAAGCGCAAGGTCCTGAGTTCAATTCCCAGTACCAAAAAATTAAAATAAAATAAACTCAAGACACTGATGCAGCCATAACAGGACAACTAAACACATGAAAGAGGATTTCAGAGCTGCTCCAGAAAGTGGCAAGAATGATGAGGTGTGTTCAAAGTGAGCAGGAGAATTGTGAGGGGGATCAATGGCAATGTGTCTTTCATTGTAATAAATTCTAAAATTTAAGCATTCACTGTATTTTTCAATCCCATCTCTCTTTCTCTCTCTCTTTTTAAAGTAACCATTAAACACAAGATCAGGCATGTAATAAATGAAGAAATATTGACCAAATGACTGAATGACAAATAATATCTAGGAAGTACTTGACTTTACACCAGGGAAAAGGGTTTATTTATAATTTCTATCTGGAAGTTCATTTGTTCTGTGGCCGTAAAGTTTAATTTTCACAGACAAAATCCTTCATCTGTTCAACTAAATAGCACAGGGTTTAGGGAGATAAGCTTAATTTTCATGTTATCTACTATTTAGTTGAACAAATGAAGGATTTAGTCAGTGTAAATCAAACTTTGTTTAAGCACCCTTAGGCTGCTATCTGAGTTCCAACAGTTTATATTTAAGTAACTGAGAATACAAATATAAGTTCAATGTTCTAAGTTTCCCGCTCTTTCTTTACTGTATACCTGTCGATTGGGTTCTTATCTACCTTAATGTCACTTACTATCTTTTCTACAGAAGAAACACATTTTGCATCATAGAGATCTGTTTCTCATGACATGCTGGAAATATCTACCTAGGTCAGTTGAACCAGCATACCTAAACTCTGCCTTTGTAAGAACATTCAATCAAGAGCAAAATAAAAGAGAGATGATAAAAACAGGGCAGTAGACTCTGGAGACGGGAAAGGGATTTGGGAAAAGAAGGAAAGGGCAGGGTGAGGGGTAAGTAAAAGTGATTACGATGCAATAATTGGCCGGGCATGGTGGCGCACACCTGTAATCCTAGCACTTGGGAGGCTGAGGCAGGAGGATCGTTGTAAGTTCAAGACCAGCCTGGGCTACAGTGAGCTCAAGGTCAGCCTGAACTGCCTAGCGAGACCCTGTCTCAAAAAGAAAAAAAAAAAAAAAAAAAAAAAAAAGGAGATGCAACGATTGAGATGCAATATGTCTATGTACCATTTCCCTGAGATGAACATAATTATTATGTATCACAAACACGTACTAATAAAAAATAAAACATTTTAAAAAGGGGAAAAAACTATCTTTCTCTCATCTCCAATAACATATCTACTCATTCATCAAAGTCTTTACTGAGTGTCCATTAGGTCCCAGATCTGTAGGATATGGTCTCTGTCCCTGGGGTACCCCCCACTGCACCTTGGGGAACTCTATTCTTCCAGGTGCTCTGGGGACCTCAAACTGGAAGTATTTTGGTTTTTTGTTTTGTTTTGTTTTGTTTTATTTTTTGTCTTTTTGAGACAGGGTCTCGCTATGCAGTTCAGGCTGGCCTTAAGCTCACTTTGTAGCCCAGACTGGTCTTGAACTCCCAACAATCCTCCTACCTCAGCCTCCCGAGTGCTGGGATTATAGGCGTGCACCATCATGCCTGGCTTCAAACTGGAAGTAGTTCCCACCTTCCGCTCTAGTATATGGTTTTTGTCCTTTTCCATCTTTTCTATCCTTATTGTCTCTCCAAATCAGACTGCTCTCAAAGACCTGCCCTTTTCACTCCACAAACTAACTACATTTCTGCCATCTAACCCCTCTCGCATCGTGGTCACTATCAGAGTTGCCCACTTTCCATGAAGCACAACCCAGGGCCATCTCCACGCTGGCTTCCAACCAAGCTCTGCAGATGGTCTCTATAAGAGTCAGAAAATGGTGCCTTCAGGAGGCATAACTAGGCAAGGAGACTTTCCAGAACGAAAAGGTAACGCCTTCTGTCATGTGGCTTGGAAGTCAGCTCCCACTCACTGCTTGGCCCGTGTCTACTCAGTGGCCCTGGAGCTTTATCTCCTTACTTTCATTTCTCCACTCTTACGGCTTCCTGGCCTTCTTCTCCAGCCCCATGGCCTACTTTCTTGAACTAGGGTGGCACATTCTCCCTGTGCCCAATGCCTTAGGCCTTCTCCTCTTCACCACCACCACCCAGCCTTCTTTTTGAGCCTCATCTGCTCTGGGTTCCTGTAGAACTCAGGGTCTGCAAGGGTCATCATTCAGCGAACACTGGGTGGAGAACTATGTACAGGACGCAGTAGAGTGAACCCTATTTCCTCGGTTGGATTGCAAGGGTTTAGAAGGCAGGGATCAGCCGAGCATGGTGGTGTAGCCAGGCGTGGTAGCACACACCTGTAATTCCAGCACTCGGGAGGCTGAGGCAGGAGGACTGTTGTGAGTTTGAGACCAGCCTGGGCTACAAAGTGAGCTCAAGGCTAGCCTGAACAGCATAGCAAGACCCTGTCTCAAAAAGACAAAACAAAAACAAAAACAAATAGAAGGCAGGGATCAGAAGGCATCTCCACCTTGTTTACTCCAGAGGGCTTACTGGGGCCCAAGCAGTGACAGATGCTGGTGAGAATGGTAAAGTGACTTTAAAAAATGATTCTCCAAAGACTTCCAACAAGTAAGTAGGTTCTAGAGAGCAGTTATTAAGTTTTGCTAGTCTGATTTGAATTCCTCCTCCTGGGAAAGCAATGCCACGCTACTCCTCCCCAAATATATAGTTCTTCACCTCTCTAAAGTGGACTTCACCTCTCAAAAGAGGGTTTTAGGCTGAGATTTTCAGGAATCCCCAAGCCCACTCCTGCTCTCCACACCCCACCATAACAAGCTCACTTCCGGCCTGACGTCCTCACTTCCTCAGCCTTTGGCTTCCTTTTCACTTCCTTCACCATTACTAGCAGCTGCAGTACTGCCCCCCACCCGCCCTCAGGTGGTATTGACAAAGAAACTTCAAAAGCAGTCATTCCCAAAGAACAAATCCGCGCTTAGGCAGATGCGGACTGATCCGCCCGGCTTCCTGGCCGGCAGAGCCATCCTTCCCCAACCCCCAGCACCAGGCACTCCAGGGATTTGGGTGTCTTGGAGGAGGCCCTCCTCAGTTCCCGTACATCTACATTTGCACACTGAGGCCTTCTCTTTTCATGCCTCCACCCCCAAGCCACACAGGAAGTTGCTCTGCTGGTAGTTTTGGGGCCTCTGACACTCACTGTTCCTTCCTCAACCAAGGGAGGACAGTTTCCCTCTGGAAGGAGTCCTCACTGTCTCCCCAGAGCAAAGTGTAAGCTTGCCTTGGCCCTCAAACAGGAGTCTGCTTTAAGCTTAAATTTGCTTTGTTTTTTATGTCCGATTCATTTTTGCAAGAGATGAGACATACATCATAAGGAACCTTCTGCCTGTGGCTTAAGGCACCTTGTTTCCTCTCAAAAGGGGTAAGCTCCATCTAGAACAACTTCTTTGGGCCTCTCTCCCAGCCCAACATGTTGAGGGTCTCCTGGGTTGGCTTCCTGGTCCGCCATGCAGCCCAGCGAGCTCAGGGCAGAGCCCTGCAGCTCTGAGTAGACTTGTGAGCCCCACCTGCTGAGCTCTGCAGGGAGTGCCTCAGTGTCCCAGTCACACATGTTTTTACAGAGGGTGCATCCCACTCCCTGAACAACATGATCCTTGTCCCTTGAAGACAACTAGTTGAGCTGAGTGTCCAGGACCAACCTACCGCCCCTTTGAAGAAGGCACACAGGGAGTCTAGCACTGAACGGGGGAGCCATGCTCAGGCAGGGAGCTTGGTGTGGGGGAGAGATAACAGCTACTGTGAATCCAGATTGCTGCAGCCCACAACCCAGGGAGGAGCAGTTTCCTTTTGAATGCCCGTGGGAATCACCTTAAAACTACACAACATTTGCACTTTGTCCTTTCCTCTTTTCAAAAGCCCCGGGTCCTGCTAAGGCTGACTCCCGTGAAGTAGCGGGTCTCAGTTTCAAGGGGTAAATCTACAGACGTCTCCAGACAAAGAGAAGGGAAGGATTTGGGGGACACATCTTTGATGGAGGGTGGAAGGTGGTTGCCAGGACCCCACAAGGTTTGAACAGCATAGGAGTGTTCCCAGGCCTCCGCTCAGCGGGGCCTCAGCCTGGTCACCCCTTAGAGATGGGCGGCGCACCCCAATACATATTCCACAAAGTGGGGGCCTGTAGAGGAGCCTCAAGCTTTATCAGAAATAAGGTCATTTGACTTCCAGGGGAGAGGAGCTTTACAGAAAGTTATGAAAGATGTGTCGGTCGCAAGACGGACTTCAGGAGCCAGAGGATACCCGGACTGCTAAACGACCAGTGTGCAAGTGAGGTGGGAAGCCCGGGTGGGCAGAGAAGCCGGCCTCCATTGCCAGTTCTGGTTCTCCTTCAACCCCGGCTCTTCAGAGTGAAGGGCTTCTGATTTCTTGCCGTTTTTCTGCTCACAATTTGCCCTTTTACGAGCCTTTTCTGCACCTACTTTTTGTTGTTTGTTTAAAGCACGCAAACCCCGGATCAAAATACCTGCGTTCTCAGAAAGCCGCCCTCCTTTCCCGTATTCCCTGCCGAGCCCTCGCCCGCCCCAGGCGTCCCCCAGGTAGGACCGAGCACGAGGCGCCCGAGCAGCAGGGGTTTGCCCTTCTTCTTAGCAGCCGCCTGGAGCTACGTGCTGCCTGCCCCGGGCTGCCTGGAGAGAGAGGGGGCGCCGAGGACCCCAGCCGGCGTCCTTTACCTCCATGTCCTCCAGGTCGTCCTGGCCGGAGCTCACGGTCCCCGCGGTCCCTGTGCGCCCAGCGGGGCGAGTGGGCGGCGCGCGCCGGGCTGCGCTGTGCTGCGCTCGGCTCCGCGGAGAACCAGGAAGGAGCCGCGGAGGAGGAGGGGCGGGGAGGGAGGCCAACGATCGGGGTTTAAATATAGACACAAATCTAAACAGATACTGGCCCTCCCAATCTGCCCAAACATGGATGGGCAGCCGCGGAGCCCCCTCTCTCGCGAAGTTTCTCAGGACCCTGGGCCTCGTCGCTCACCTCTCCCTCCCTAACTCGCTCGCTTTCTTCGGCTCACTCTCCAAGTTAGAACTGGCCTGTCGTTCTTTTTATTTTCCCTCCTTTCCATTTCCTTCTTTGATGCCCATCCTGTCTGCTTTCCTTCCCTTTTCCTCCCTTTCTTTTTTTAGGTTGCATTAAGGTCACACCTGGTTTTCCTGGAGTCCCTGGGGGGCTGCGAGGCGGCAGCACAGTGCGACCTGACAGGGCCACTTTCCCCTCCACATCGCTTTTCTTCTCCAGCTTCCAGCTCCGCTCCCAGCAAAGCCGTATCAATCTATAGATCTGCTGTCTGCGTACCAGGAGAAGGAGGAGGAGAAGAGCAAGGAATCCAAGCAATGTTTTCCACGCTCTCTGCAGCAGTAAATCTTTGTCTCAAATCTGCTTTGATTCTTGCGTTCGGGTTTGTGGGAATTTCAGCTCCCACAAGCCGCTAGCTGAAGGGCCTTTTTCTCCATTCCTATTAAATATAGTCCAGGGCAAGATCCTGAACATCCGATTCCCATAAGACCCAGTTTAGCAACTCTTCCCCAGGGCCATCCCAGCCCAGGGGCAGCAAAAAGACTGTGTGGGAGAGATGTGGGACTGGGATCTGCCTCAGGGTCATTGTCCCATACCAGTCTAGGGACCAGCCCCTTCCAGTCCTTCTTCCCGGGCCCAGGGGGAGGTGCTTTTGGAGACCTGCAGTGGAAGGAGATGGGCTGGCAGGGTGGCTCTGCTGTCCTGTAGCATTCACGTGTCCCCTTAACCCTGTCCCCAAGCCCAGGCCCTAACTAGCCAGGGAAAGGGAGAGCCGTCCCAGAGGGAACCGTGAGACAGCTGCTGGTGAGCGCTGAGCAGGACACAAGCTGAGGCTCACCCTGATTCTGCTTCTCACTGAAGGCCATCTGTGGCTTCCAGGAGCTTCCATTGCTGCTTCGAGTACCAGCCTGAGATGTAAGGCTGCCTCCTGTCATAAACGCTTCCAAGGCCTGACTCTTTACATCAAAGGCCAGCATGGTTGTTAGCTCATTTAACTCAGCTGAGCGTAGGGCCAAAACCCCTGATTTGAAAAATAGAGAGACAGAGCCAGGTGTGGTGGTACATGGCTGTAATCACAGAGCTCCAAGGCTGAGGCAGGAGGATCGCTACAAGTCCGAGGTCAGCCTTGGCCTGAACTACACAGCCAGACCCTGTCTCCAAAAAACAAAACAAAGCAAAACAACAACAATAACAACAAAAAACAACCCAAGAAAATGAGGCTGAGAGTGGTAGTGCATGCCTGTAATCACAATACTTGGGAGAGACTGAGACTGGAGGGTTGTTGTGAGTTGGAGGGCAGCCTGGGCTGCAGAGTGATTTCAAGGCTAGCATGAACTTCATAGTGAAAATGTCTCAAAAAGAAAGAAAAAGAAGAAAAAAAAGAGAGGGTTGAATTCCAACTCTGCTGCTTGCTAGCTGTATTTTCTTAGACAAGTCAATTAACCTCTCTGATCCTTGTGTTCCCCACCTTTACACTGTAGTAGGAAAGAGTACCTGCTTTTATATTGCTTAGCCTATGCACAAGTTTCAAGTGAGTAAGGTCTTGATATTCCCTTTACTTACAACCCAGTCCTCTGGCAGAAGAACCCCACCCCCAGGAATTAATGGTGAGCCCCACTCACTCCAGCCTCATAGTGCAGAGGTGGGGTTGCCGGGCAGAGTTGGTAGCAGGAAGGAAATTTCCTGGGAATTTAAAACGTAACCTTGTGCCTGTGACTTTTTCCCTTTCTTCTTTGTAAAGGGGAGGACTGGGTTTGTGATGGGAGCATTGACTTTTACCATGACCTTCTTTTTTTTCTTTTTCTTGTCCTTTTTTTTTTTCCTTTTTGAGACAGGGTCTTGCAATGCAGTTCAGAGTGCCCTTGAGCTCACTTTGTAGCCCAGGCTGGTCTCAAACTCGAAATGATCCTCCTGCCTCAGCCTCCTGAGTGCTGGGATTACAGGCATGTGCCACCATGCCCGGATTCCATGACTTCTTTTTTTTTT